GCCCAGAAAGGTGAGATGCTAATTAACCAGCCAGGTCCACACTCCCATGGAGTGCCCAGGTGAGGGACCCAGGATGAGTCAGGGGAGTGAGATCCACAGTGAATCCAGGCTGAGGTCAGAAGGATGGAGGCGAGAAGAGAAGGAAATGGGAGGACATTCCAGGCAGCAGTGACTGGTGACCATCATGATTAAGAAGCCCAGGGGCAAATGAGCGTCCAGGATGTAAAAGTCCTTCGGGAAGGCAGAGACACCACCACCAAGAGCGCCCCAAAGCCCTTAGAGTTTCTGAGACTGCCAGTATGTTTTAAAATCAGACATGTCCACGTGGCATTTAGAAAGTTGTGGTCTGCTTTTAATATTTTTATTACGTGAACACTTTTAAAACATACACACAAATTACCGCAGAGTACAAAGCTGGGGTCCAGCCTAGCCCTACCACCTGTGGTTGTGTGACCCTGGATAAGTCCCTTCCCCTTAACTAGGACCACTACCCAGGTCGGTAGCTAGAACCTCAACAGCCACCTCTGAAGCCCTCCTTGTGAGCACACGCAGCTACACGCGCACACACCCTCTATTCTGACTTCACCTTGCTGTCCTCACTGATATGGGCAATAGGGTTGCCAGATAAAAAACAGATGCCCAATTAAATTAGAATTTCAGATAAACAAAAAATAAGCTTTAGTATAAGGCTGCATGGGACTGACTTATTCTTTATCTGCATTCAATTTTAATGGGGCCTCCTATATTTTTATTTGCCACATCTGGCAGCCCTACTTGGAGGCTGGCTCCTATCGGCTCTTCCGGCACAATCTATAACCAGTCCCCTGTGGATGGGTTATTAGGTTGCTTCCCATCTTTTGCTTTTCAAGAACAATAGTCCCATGAAAGTCCTTGCTCAAAGCATTCTGACCTCATCTACAATTGTTATCTGTAGGGTGTGTGCCTAAGTCCCTTAGTCACTTCTTTGCCTGGATTTTTGTGGCCAGGTTGTTGGGGCCACAGTGCCTCAGACAGTTGCCCCTCAGTCTCCCTGAAGACTTCTTCTCCCAGTCTCTTCCTCCACCTTGCTCTTTCTTCTTGTCTCTCTCCATCTCTGTCTTTCTCCCTCTTTCTGTCTCTTGCAACCTGTCTCCATTTGACCCAGCAGCTCTGCATATAAGATAGATAAGTGGGCAAAGTCGTATTTGCGAGGATGCTCATTCTAGCACTGTCTATAGCAAACTGGAAACAACCTAAATACCCACTAATAAAGTATGATCCATCCTCACCGGGAACACCAGGCAGCCATTAAAAATAATACCACTTTGACATGGAAGATGTTGATGGACATATCAGAGTGATACATCGCGGGTTGCAGATAGGAAGTAAAGTGTTCGCCCATTAAAGTTTCAACCAAAAACACTGTGACTCGAGGACCTGTAAATATTCCACAGCTGATGAAAGTGGTCACCTGGTTGTCTGTGGGATGAGACGAGCAGTGGTTTCCACTTTTATCTTTCTTCCCTGTCTTGTCATTAAAAAAATAATAATAAGCATTATGTTTAACATCATGCATATTTGCTCTATCATATCCCTATCTATATTTATACACAGGCATATATTATTTATTTCCTGACCATTTGAGAACAAATTGGAGATAGCGTGTCCTTTCAACTTTCCCATGTATATCTCTTAAGAACAAGGACATTCTCTTACGTAATTGTGGTATAATTGTCAAAATTGGGAGATCTAACATTGATTAAGTACTATTGCTTATTCCATAGTCTGCATTCAAATGTCAGCAACTGGCCCAGTAACATCCTTTACGGCAAACCCACCGTCGAGGATCCAGTTTGGGATCCTGTAGCGTTGCAGTGACTTGTCCTGCTCTTTTATTTAGTCTTTTATCCTGACCTTGACATTTTGGAAGAGTTGGGTCTGTTTTGTAGAATGTCCCTTGGTTTACCTGACTTGCCAGATGTTTCCTTACATTTAGACTCACGTTAGACATTCTTCTGCTGGGACTTCCGAAGTGGTGCTGCGTCCTCAGTGAGTCCCATCAAGTCAGCCACAGTTTGTTCCATTATTGATGATACAAACTTTGATCACTTGGTGAAAGTGTCTGCTGGGTTTCTCCACTACAAAGTTACTAATTTTCCCTTTGTACATAATTTGTACAAAGTTAACTAATTTTCCCTTTGTACATAATTTGTGGGGAGGTCAATTGAGACCAAATATTCTAGATGGTTTTTATAATCAGAAAAGGTATCACTAAAGTCTTGTCACCTGTAAGGTCTGGGCTTGAACACCTGATGCTAACCATCAGTGAGTCGCTGCCCCACCCCAGCTACAAAGCCTTTGTTGTAACACACCTCGCCTTACATTACAATACCTACGATTTCCTGAACTAGCCTAAGGATGCATTTCACCTGAGGCCCTTTTAAAAGATACAGGTTTCTAGGCCCCACCCACGCCTACCAATCAGAATCTCCAAGGAGTGACCTGAGAATCTGTTTTGTAACAAGTGCCTCCCAGGTAATTCATGTCTTCAGGCTGAGTTTGGGAAGTAAGTCCTTAGTCATCAAATATTGACAGCTACTAGCTGCCTGGGTCTCAGGAATGGACAGAAAAACAGTAGCGGCATTGGCAGCTCACAAAATAAGCACTTATTTTGTGCCGGGCTGTTTTCTTACGCCTTACGTGGATTATCTCACTAGGTTCTCGTAACTCTGAGGAAGACACTTTTATTAACTCCGTTTTACAGATGAGGAAACTAAGGCACAATGAGATTCAAATAACCTGTCCAAGGTCACACAACTAGCACTGTTGGATGCTAGGAATAGGGGACCGTGCTGTGTGGCTGAGACCATGTGTCTAACACACTTCTACGCTTTAACACTTGGGCGAATTGCTCCAGGTCTGCAGCCTCCACTCCCTCTCATCTTGTTATGCGAAGGCTATTAGCGCCCTTCCTGCAGGGCTGGTTAAGAGGACTCAGCGAGATTGACTTTTCCGGAGTAACCTGAATGATCGATCACCTTTCAGAAGCTGAAGGAGAGAGGGTAAAATCAGTATTTCAGGGCAGGCACTGGAGCAGGAACCGGGGTGACCGTGGCGAGCATCACTGTCCTTACTCCTGTACTCACAAAGCCCAGCTGAGTCCCGTGCGGATGTCAGCAGACACTGCGGAAGTCAGGGGATAACGAGAGGAATGAAGGCAGGACAGCATCCAGGGGCCACGTCAAGGGCTGGCGCAGGTCAGGTCTCCGCCTGGCAGCGGCCACCTTTCCAGCCCACCGGAATCTCGCCGCACCGCCTGGCAAGTCGCGCCTCCTGCACTTCGAATTTGAGGACCTGCCTCCCCGCAGGGAGGGTCAGGGGCGCCATCCCGCGCCTGCGGTAGACACTGCCCCCTTCAGGCTCTCCGAAGCAGCGCACCGGCCCCCAACTCCCCGCCGAAGTCGCGGTGGAAAGACAGTACCACTGCAAAAGGTCCCCGTTTTGGTTCCATTTCGATTCTGGGAGTATTTACTGAGTCTGCTCTGGGCCATGTATGGAGAAGCGTGATGCACAGGTAGACTGCTGGTCCTCAAGAGGTTAACTTTTTCACGTGGGAGACAGCCACTCAAACAAGTAATTGCACAATCAGGTGTGAGTTGCCTGGCACCTACAGATGTTCAGAACTTATGCTGCTAATATATGTTGAGTAGGGTTTCCAGACTTAACCAGTAAAAATACAGGTCACCCCGTTAAATGTGAATTTCAAACAATTAATTTTTTAATATGAACATTCCTGGCATTAATTTCCTGACTTGGGCAAATTATACTCCCATGCAATATTTGGCACATTTATAAAAAGTTAGTCACTGTTTGAACTTCACACGTAACTGGGAGTCCACTATTTTACCCGACAGCCTGAATATTGAGCAATGGGGTCACAAAGGTAAACAAGAATCCCGACTTCAGGGAGCTTACGGCCTAGTCGGGGGTGTTTATACAGGAGGTGGAGACTATAAATACCCCTACTAGCACTGCGAGCAGAATCTTCCACAAGAACAGCAGGCATGAAATTGAGTTAGACATCCAAACTGCAGTTGGGGGGCAAAGATGGGGGAGCACCAAATATTCCAAAGGGAAAGTGGGGGACATGACTCAAGGTTTAGAGAGACGGCCTGGGTGGTTCCAGGGTTCACTAAATTCGCAAAGATAGAGCTGGGATTAGTGTTCTGGGCTTGCTAAACGAGCTGCTTCTCCATTTGTTTTAAATATATATGTAATTAAAATAAGTAAACACTTGAGTATTTCATATGTAATAGTAAAAGCTCTTATTCAATTTTTTTTTTTCTTCTTTTTTTGGCATCCCTGAGTAGGCATGGCTCTTATTCAATTTCACCAAAAAACTTTTTAAATTTCCTTATACTCAGGCATATATGGTGTTTACTAAGCACCTATTATGTGCCAGCACTGTGCTAGGCACTGGGGATTTACACATTAATCAAATATATAATTACAAACTGATAAGGGTTTCATAAATGGTAGCTATTTAATAAATAGTACATACCACCTACTTCATAAAGAAACTGGAAGCCAGAAAATTATTCCCGTTTTGTCATAGGGAAACAGGTTCAGAAAATATTGGCCAGATGTCCTATAGTCAGGAGCAGAGCACAGAACCTACAACACACCCAGGACCTCAGATCCTAACCTGCAGGATGTCTTGGGGCTGCTGCTAAGTCATCTGAACAGAGCTGAAGCCAGTGTCTGAAGCCTTGCTTCATGGAGCATGGTCACGTCCCACCTCACCAGATCACCCAACTGTGAGAAGTGGGGATCGGGTTCACTTTGCAGAGGACAGGCCTGGGGAAACTCAGCTGGGGAGGCGTTACAGAGCGGAGGTAAGAGCCAGATGGGACTCAACTGTGGCACACTAAACCACTCGCCGTCAGAAGGAGCAACAATCTTCTAGATGCCCAGACTTCAGGAAATGGTGATTAACAAAAACAGGCATTGTGGCTCACCAGTTGGATAAATTATGAAATTTATTTATATTTTGCCTTTTAAAAGCCAGAACATAACAAATTTCACTTTCTGGAAAGTCATCTTATTAGAAATACATGAAGTGCACTTAATACAAGGAAATCAGTTTCTTGGTACCACCAGTGAGACAGACACGTGCTCGTCATTCCCTCAAATGAAAGTTTTGTTCCATTTCCCTTTAAACTTAGACCGAGATGATCTCAATCCAGGGAGGTCTGAGTCAACTTTTTCCAAAAATTACTATGAAGAAGTTCACCCTAACATCTGGGCCCTCCCAAGCAACAACACATTAGAAAAAAATCATTTGCCCCCAAAGGGCCCCATCTCTGCTGGCTGCTAGGCATCCGCAGTTCTTACTGGCAGATGGGGAGAGGCCCGAAGCCCTGTCACTTGCAATCTCCGCCACCGACCAAAAAAAAAATTTCCATATTTGACTGGAGAGGCCTGACATGAAAAAGCAAACCCAAGCCCAGATGCCCTTCGGCCGGTCAGAGGTTGCTCCCATGTGCTGGACTGCCAGCTCCTCTGGGCCTTGTGTTTATTAGTATGGTGAACATGGTGAACACCAAGCTTCTCGAGCTGCTACCAAGCAAGTTTCCAGTAGGCAGTTTCCACTAAGAGCAGCTCACAAGGGACATGTAGAGCCTTTCAAACAGTGCCTTGTCTGGACAGACAGCAGGCTGTGATACTAGACTTCCTACAAACTCTGATAGAAAAGCAAAGCTCAGTTTGACCTAAGTTACAAAACAAAGTAAAAGAACGGGTATCCACTGGAACCCCCAATCCTCTTCTCATTCATTCGAGGACTCTTTTTTGTGCCTTAAGGACAAGAGTGTAAGCAGTCTCCCAGGGAGTTAAATATGACCCAGTCATTTGAAAATACCTCATTAGTTTGAAAATCAGAAGCCAAAAGTTATGCCCCCCACTCCCTCTCAGCTGACACTCTTTACCATTTATGGAGAAAGTGAGTTTAACTTTTCTAACCTAGAAACACTTATTTCCACTAAAAACATATGGATACATCTTATCCTAAAAAGGCACCATGCAGGCATTTAAGACTGAACCAGTTCACTCTAAGGGTGTGCAAGAACAGCAGGAAATGTTACGAATCAAAACGCTGAACCCAGAACACGCACCCCAACAGGACTCTGGAAAAGTGTCCTGGGAGGTGACTCCAGCTTCCCGTAGCTGCTGCCAAGGACTAACAGGACCCTGCACCGCACAGAAGCTCCGCCACCGATGGGATGCGCAACTGCCAGAGCTCACACACCCCAGGGACAAGGAGAAGAGACACCTGTCTCATTTGTGCTTTTCATAACCCAGAAAAGGTCCTGGCTGGCTCGGAGGACCTGAGAGATCAGCGCTGGATGGGAGGACCAAGTGTGAAACAAGGACAGGCGGAGAAGCTGGCTTCTCTTCCTGGAGAGGAGGCAGAAGCTCCAGGTAGTAGCTGAGGCAAGACCAGATATGTGACTAACATGGTTAACGGTGGGGAAGAGCCCAGAGGAAAGGACGGCTCTGATCTGGGGACCTGTTTCCCTGTCAGAAGGGACCCTGTTCTAATAACAAAGCTCACTTCGTCTGCTGTACATTTCAGGTGTACAAGTCACATGTTTCACATGTAATATGAAATGGAAGCTCAGGAACATGAGACGGACAGCAGACACTCTGCTCACTGATCGATGATGGAGCGTTGCAACACCTGATTCATCATGTCCTCTTCATCGACATCATAATCCTAAGGGCAAAACACAGACACAGCCTCAGCAACAGTTTGCAGCTGCAGACTCACTTTTAGGAGCAGGAGCGGGACAGTGGAGCGACGGGCTCTGGGGAGGGTGGCAGGGGCCAGACCCCGCCCCACGGTGGGCGATGCTAGCTGCGTTAACTCTGGGCAAACTGCTGGATCTCTCTGAGCCTCTGCTGCCTCATCCTGATGACGAAAATAATGATGGCGCATGCGGACAGGGGCTGTGAAGGTTAGAGAGCATCCAGATGGACCTGTCACAGACCAAGTGCTCAAAGCATGGAGCACGCTGTAGTGAAACTAGCCTAAGTCAATGAGACAGCTTTCTACTTGGGTGTTATATTAGTTTTTACAGCATTAACAAAAAGGACAGTTATTTTCAAGTCTGAGATTCAGACACTCGATTAGACCATGAATCATTTTTATGACAACTTAGGAAAGTTCAGGTCTTGAAATACAGCCATTAAGACTGAATACTTCTCTAAAATGCTCATTTGACACTGACATGTAAATAAAAGGTCTATTCCAGCAGTTGGCCAAATTAACTCAACACTACAATGCCACGACACAGTGTGTCCCTCCAAAACCAGCTCTAGGGACAGGGTAACAAACCCAATGCCCATATTTAGCCAGTGGATGTGTTTTGTTTGACCTGAAGTACTTTAAAAAAATAAGTAAAACTTCACAGGCAATTCCGTTTCTCCAGCTTCTTGGGGTCGGGGTAGGCAACACTGTGCCTCAACATGGCAAGAGTCGGCTGGAGCTGATGGCAGCATAATGGGCCATACACTGTCCAGCCTGCACACCCTTCCGAAGGCCATTTCCATTACGTGCCTGGTACCTGTGGGTATCTGAGCTTAAGAATCTCAAATTGGGCTCTATAATAGATAAAAACTACGTATGTAAAAACGAAGTGGGCAAAAATTTTGAAAAACAAACAAGCAAGCTGTCACTATGCCTCAGTCTAGACGACTGACCAGCTCATCTTCGTGAACACCATGCAATGAAGGCTCTGGCCACTTCCTGGCTCGTGAGTACAGACGGCACAGCTGCCGTTCCAGGGAACTCATCACATCGATGACAAAACTCAACGGTGGGGCCTGCGGTTCCGCAGGTACAAGAAGGGAGGTGGCTGTGCTGTCCCCCAAGGGAAGGGCCAGAACCTGGGCTTCGGACTTACCACGAAAGTGTCGTACGAAAACTGGTGCCGGCGCTGGACGTGCTCCATGAAGTTGGCGCTGCGGTAGTTGGGGTCTCCCCAAGGCATCGAGGCGCATATGGGACAAACCTTTCAACAGAGAAGCACGGTCTTAGGCATCTGGAGTCTGAGCTGACATCAGCCCTCTGTGCCCTGTGTCAGGCCTCCTTTCTTCCAAGACAGCTTCCCCGACACACCAGTCCCGGGCCTGGTCACGCCTCCATGTGCACATTCACATCTCCTACTCGAGTCAAATGACACATGGAGGTAGGTAAAGGCTTCAGCCGCGACGCCACCCTTTTATAATCCCCTACTGTGGTCAGAACAACGTGCAAGCCCAGTGGGGACCGAGACTACCGCCTTCCAACCCGGCACAAAAAAAACAACAAGGAAATGACAGAAGAGCAATGTCCCAAGGAAGTAAAACAGCCTTAAGTGCCATTTTTACAAAGTAAATGCTCAGACGAGGGAGCGCAGGCTGAGAAGCCTGCACGCAGAGGTTGGTTTGGGCCCTGAAGACTGGGAGGTATTTGGAAAGACAAAGAGAACATGAAACGGTTTTCCAGAAGAGGGGCCGTAGTAGAGGGGAAAGAGAAAAGGCCAAGAGGCAGCATTATAGGCAAACAGGCAGCCAATCAGTGTGGTCAGAATGAAAGATTCAGAGATGGGCAGGGAGAAGCTGGGGCAGGGGGAGAAGCAGGCCTGGGTGCTCCAGCTTGGAGATGGAACCCCACTATTTACAAGGAAGATATGGTAACAAAGGGGGTAGGCAAGAGAGGAGTCTGAAACGGTAGAAAACTCCTAGAGCGGAGAGCTGGGCAGGTGGCTGAAACTGGACAGCTAGAGTTGGAGCAGGCTCCAGACTACAGAGGAGGTGATGGCTTCCTAGGGGAAGGGTTGAAATACTGACGCCTAAGGAATTCTGCAGGGGCAGAGAGAGAACAGAGGGCCTAGGGCTGAAGGAAGAGAGGCTTTGACAGAGACGAGATGATCAGAGGCATGTGAAGAAGCCCAAGGAGGGTAAAAAGGGAGAAATTAGGTTGCAATACCAGAAACCAGAGTAGTGCAACAATATTGATCAAAATTTTGAGTGCACTTAACCTTCAACCAAATCAATCCACATTAAAGACTTTTATAGATATACAAAAACATAGGCAAGATATGTTAAAATTTATGGCAGCCTTTTAAAATTTATTATAAAAAAAGTTCAAACCTACAGAAAAGTAGGTAATAGTTTGAACCACCCCTTATTCTCAACACCTAGAGTAAGTTTGGAACACTTATTTCAGCAAAAGGGAAGAAGCATTTTAAAATAAGATACGTTTTGCCCTGAATTATTTCAGTACAGTTCTCAAAACAGGCATTTCCCTTTATAAATACAATACCATACTCCCATCCATCAATCAATTCTTTAGTAGAATATCCCATCCTTAATCAAGTTTCCTGATATTGTCTGGAACTGACCTTGATGTTCATCAATAGTTAAATGATACAGACAAATGACAGAAAACTGTGAAGCTCATTAAAAAATAAACCAATCTACATGTACTGATATGGAACAGATGCCAAAAACATAAGTTACACCTCATCTAATATCCTGTCATTTGTATAAAAAGAGGGACAAAAAAGGGGTAGTCCACGAATCTCTTAAGGACAATCAAAAGCTGGAAATGTCTCTGATCACGTGATTCTGCTTTTCCGCCTCTGCAGACCACTCTGACGCCAGTGAGCGCTCAACAGAGGCATTTTCTGATGCTGAGGAAAAAGCTGGTTCAGGAGCCAGGACTCCAGGTTCTGGTACTGGTGCTGCCAGTAACGAGCTCGACCACACGGGCGATCCACTTAACGTGCTGGCACACTGGTTTCTTCACTTATTCACTTGTAAAAACGAGTTCAGGGGAGATGGTGGCAGGAATAAATGAGAGCATCTCTACCATTTTACTTAGCATCCGCTTTGGTTTTCATAATTAGAGTTGTGTTTCTTTGGCTAACTTAAAAATGGAAAATCGGAAGTGAGGGCAGGTGAGTGGTGCGCGGGTCACTGCGTCCGTGCACATGTGCTCTTTCAATTGGCAATTAGTTGTTAAGAACCGTAATTAACACATCCTGAAGAAGCCGAAAGCTTGGCTCTGGAGTGTTCTATCTTGCCTAGTGCAGCCAAAGAATCCGTACTGTGCAGCTCTTTTGGAATCTCAGGAAAAGAAAGGCAGCAGGTGCGCTGCCGTTCCAGGTTGACGTCTGCCTGTGGAGACTCCCACAGCCTCCATGCAGCAAAGATATCAATGTCAGCGAGAGGGATATTAGCACCAAATGATGAGACTGTTTATTTTTGAGCAATAATCAATTCTTTTGACTGATCTCCTGAAGGGCCGGCAGGCCACCATGGTATGATGTTTTACTTCTTATTGGGTTTATTCTTATTATACTAAAATGGAAAGTGGTAATACAACACATTTTCCATATACAAACACAGAATAAATATCAAGAACATAAAGAAATACTGGAAACTGATGGTATAGAAAGGAAACAAGGACTAGGAGAAGGGGTTGGAGAGAAACTTTTTACAGTTTACTTTTTACACAATGAATCGACAACATAAAAAGGAACCAATTTTTTAAATTGCAAAGAAGTGACAGAAAACAAGGACCCGAGAACCAGCTGGGACCACAGAGAATGTGACGTTAGCGGGGTGGAAACCGGACTCTAGAGGGAGTAAAGGAGAGGTGTGGAAGAGACAGCAGCAGCTAAAAACCCACAAGCTGGAGGGAAAAGAGAAACTAAATACAATCTAGAGAAAGGGCTGGATCAAATATTCCTCCTACCACTTAGACGGGGAAGGCTTGGGTACATTTGAAGGAAAACAAGTGTTTAAGGAGCAGGTAGAGAGAGAAGCTGAAGGTAAGAGCACGATGAGGAAGCCGCAGGAGCAGGGAGTCTTTCTCTGTGCCAGGCCCCCGTCTCGGTCCTTCGCCTGGATCTGAGGACGCAGGTAGGGAAGGGTGAGACTTGGAAAGGAGCCTTTTCCTCAACACAAGACGGAATGATAAGAACAAAGAACAAGGGTTGCAAACTCAGCTGTTCACAGGAACCACGCTGGCCAGGCAAACGAGCAAAGCAGGATGGGTAGAAGCCTCACCTCTCCAGAGGGGCAACAATTACTCAAAGCCAGCTGACTCTTGCCAGAGACTTCTACTTTCTCAAATGTAGAGTATTAAGTCTAAGAAACCTTCTGATTTCTAAAGATTAGGGAAATTTAGATGTGTATGGGCCAGACATATCCCACAGGCTGCCAGTCTGTCACCTCACAGGTAGATCAGAGCGCACCTGAGATAGAGGAAGGACGAGAGAAAAAGGAACACACACCTGATACTCTGAACTTAAAACCAGGATTCAGGGTTATCTGTGGCAAGGATGGGGACAGTCATGGCAGGAACTTAATGCGGAATGCTCAGGATCGCCACTAGAAAGTGTGTGTGTCTAGTGGCAACACGGGCCTGCGTGAAAGCGGGGCGCACGATTAGCCATACTAGCCTAGCTCCCTGGTTTGGGGATTTTGGACAAACCGCGGGGCTGGGGTTCACTTGTGGGATCTGTTGCAGCACAATGTGAAGAGCCCAGGGAGGCCAGTGTGAACAGCGGATGGACTGACCAGAATCTGGACTTGGCGAGGAGTTCAATAAAGTCAAGAGAAGACGTAAGACATTCTTGAAAAGACCAGCTGCTTCTTAACATTTACAACAGAGAGATAAAGAAGGCTGTTAAGGCTTGATCCTATCAGCAAAGGCTCATGTGAATTCTAGTTCGTGCACCACCTTCTATACCTGGAGCTGAAGACTGCGCGTAAACCAGGCACACAGTTCATCGGGAGCAGCCTGAGATAAACGGGAAAACTGAAACCACATGGGCAGCTGTATCAAGACCTAGTCTGTCAATCACATCAAGAGGGAAGGGTCACACTGCTGAGATGGACCGAATTCAAACTTTTTTCAGAAGAAACTCCATGTTAGTCTATGATATTTAAATGTCTAAGCCCCGATAAGCATTTTCCTGACAATTTCACTTTAAATTCTCTTTCTCAACTATTAGGGAGCTACTGTCAAAAGGAAAATGGCAGCTTTACCGAGGAGAAACTTGGGGGACACCAAGGGGTCCAAGTTAGCATTACCAACAATGGGACCCAGACATGGCATGGCCCCTAATGTGGCACCTGGAGGACACATCACTTAGGGAGCAGTCCTGAGTCTCATCATGGAGAAGCAGATGAGCCCAATGAAGGACACGCTACAATACCATCTGCCTGTCCTCTTTAAAAATGAAAAGGCCAGGAAAGACAAAGGCAGAGACTAGAGAGACATGACAGCTAAATCTAGCACACCGATCCAGGATTTGGGGGCAGCGGAAGACTGTTATAAAAAACACTACAACTTTAAAAATTTAAACATGAACTCCACATTAGATACTAGAGTATATCAATGTTACAGTTCTCCAGTGTGACAATTACACACACACACTAAAGTGATTTTGTAAGAAAATGTTACTGTTCTCAGAAAATATATGCTGAAGTATTTAGGGGCAAAGGGACACGATATTTGTAACTTATTCTTGAATGGTCAGCAAAAAAGTGTATGTAGAGAGTAGAGTTAAGCAAATACAGTAAAATGTTATTAACCTGGAAGGGTACATAAGGAGTTCACTGTACTATTCCTGTAATTTTTCTGTAAGTTTGACTTTTTTCCCATAAAAAGTAATTTTTAAAAAAGTTCCTCTTACCACAGATTTGGTATCCGTGCTATGGGATATCTTGCAGTGTTCCACAAGTCCTTCTTGATCAAAGTTCTTCTCGGGACAGTAAGGGCAAGGAAAGGTGTAACGGTTGGGGACATTCCTGGAAGACGAAAGGGAAAAAAAAAACCTGTCAGTGCATTTCCATGCAACTCCGACCACTGTACCCTCCACAAAGGAGCAGTGTTCACTGAGGGCTGTGACGGTCACTTCAGAATCAGGTTGTGTTTGGAAGATGACATAAAAGCATAGCTAATATTTAAAGTGAACATCAGATAGTCCTTCTCCACCCCACCGCCCATACAAAATACATCAGCTTTAGCTGGCTTAACAATGACATCTCCACTTTCCAAAACTCTTACAACTAAATCTTTAAATGTGCAAAGTGCCCAGTGTCTCTGTAGCAAAAGATGACCTCCACCTAGGGGAGTCATCGAGTCACTTACCTCGGCTGCAGGGACGCATCCTTGGTGGTGGCCTTCACACCTTCCATGATGTAATTCTGGTATTTGGAACAGGTAGCTACGTGGGCCCGGATCTTGGATAGGAAGAACTTGGACCAGAAGAATCAGAGGCCATGAGTTAGTCAGGACCTTGTACCAGGCCCAAAACAGTACCAAAGCAAAGGCAAGATGAAAGCTAGACCTCTACCACCCCGGCAAACAATCTCACCAGACTCCTAGCTATGGGGCCGGGACTGGATGCCTGACCGTTTGTTGCACGGTTTCTGTTAATACCAAGGTTGTTTTACTTGACCAAATCAGGACAGCTGCTTCCACTCTAAACTAACTCTCCTAGAGGTCTGCTTTACTCACAATATGCTCTCCGCTGAGACACTCCAAACCCAGGGAAGTTTTTAGTTTTCCACGCTAGCATTTAAACCCATCTCCTTACAGCAAGCCAAGAACCACATCCCATTATATGCAGCACAGAAAAGTGATCATTCAAGTACAAGGGATAAAGTACGATTGCCAGACTGTGATAAATGATCTTAAAAAAAACCCAAATCTGAATTCAATTTCTTCTATAAAATCTAGTCTTTGCAATATAGAAGAGAGAAAAAAGAAAACCCAAAGTAGAGTGCTTCATGACAGGTGTTTAAAAAAAAGAAAAAGGAAACGTAAGGAATGAAGAAAGAGGGCGGTAAAGGGAAGATAAACATTTTTGGAGATATAATGCAATACAATCACGAATCCCTAAAATGGAGAAAATCAAAAGCATCCAGGAAAAAAAATATATAAAAATACCTATCATGTGTGCATGAAAGAGGAGATAACATGAAATTTTATTTCAGTATCTTGAGTTTCTTCTAAGTTAAAGGAAATTGCAAGAAGAAAAAAAAGCTACAACATTTGAGCTCCTGCTTACCATGCGACTTCTGTATTAACCTCCAGCTAAAGAACTTGACTTCAAGCTGCCAACCAATGAGCTCCCAATTAAAAGGGATGGGAAAGAGCCCCATTCAGAACTATCCACAATGCACCACTCCCGCTAAATCACGCTGAAAGGAAGGAAATGGTAAAGTGTATCTATTCTGTGGCTAGCCACACTGAAGTGTTAACGAAACTGACATATAAGGCTGTCCAATAAGGGAAAAAATTTTTCAAAAGTGAAAAGAAGTAAAAATATATTTTATAGTATGATCCTATTTAGTAAAAGTCTTACATCGGTGTTTGTTAAAGGGTGGAAAATGTTTTACAGCCTTCTAAATTGAACCACTTTAAAGAGATAATCTCTGGAGTGAGGAACAAGCTTATGTTATTTTTTTTTTGTCTGAAATTAACGAAATCATGATTTAAAAACCAATAAACCTGTGTATCTTTTGAAAAACAAAGCAATAGTTTTTGCAGTTATAACAGATGTTAAATATACCTGACTCATAATGATTATACAAAAGAGCACTGATGCATTTCAAATGTTAGATATTGCTATTATATTCAAATGATTTCATACTGACCTTTATATCATGATTCCTCCATCAAATGCTAAAAAATTGATTAAATTTTATATCTGTAATGATACAGATTTTAAAACTTCCTCTCATACTCACTGCAGCAGATAACTTGAGTCACTGACTTCATTTTATATTAAAAAAAAAATAAGAAATACTCTGTCATTATGTTCTAATCGTGTACGGTGCTTTGGAAAAATGGGTCTTTTATAAGAAAAAAAGGAACTGATTTCTAAGGCTTTCAAAGCTAAAATATATAATATACTAAGCCAATCCTTTAAAAAACAAACAAACCCAATAAGGTTACCAAAATGAAACAGCACAGCCATTGCCACGGATAACTAGCATGCACACGTGCTATTAGTCACCCAGTCATGCTCTAACCTCAGGAACAACATGGCAACAGCTCTGTGTTTTACCCCATTCTCATCACAGAAAGACTGACTCTTTCATTTTACTTCCACATACATTTTTACGGCAGCCATGGCAAGAAGTCTCTGTGCTCTCAATCTGCCGCTCGAGCTCCACAGCTCGGTCGCCAGGTGCCAGAGGGCTACGACACACCCCACAGACAGGCTTCTTCGGCTTCAGACATTCCTGCAGGCATGCAGAGCAAAAGCTAGAACAAGACATACAGAGAACCTGAGTCATGCATTGTGGAGACAAGACAACAAAAATGGATAAACTTTTAAAAAGACATCAATGAATAATGGATTAAAAACAACTTGCTCCCTAACCCTGATTCAAATACTGAGTCTTCCTACACCAGAAAAAAATGGGGGTGGTGAGGGGGAACAGGTCTTGCAAAAAACACACAGGTCCAGCAACAGAAACAAACGCAAACTACTGTGACACATGGTGAAAGGTGTTATGGCGCTGTTTTCGAACCTTAGCCCCCAGCACTGAGAGATCTTGGTGGGCTTTCCTGACCCTTGGTTTTTCCTCTGTGAAATGGAGAAGCAGAACCCACTTCTAGGACCGCTGGGAGGATAAAATACGTACAGACCCTTAGTACAGCGTCTAGCACATATGAAATGCACCACAAACAGGAGCTATCGTCAGAGGTGAATGCAAAGCACTATGGGAATACAAAGACAAGAGCAACTAGTTGTGATCCAAGGACAGGGCGAGATTTCAGAGGCAGCACCTAAAAGAGCACTAAGAGTTCAGCTGGCAGAGGAAGAGAACATTCCAGAACCCTAACTTAAAAATTCACGATGCATCTGAGGAAATAAAAGCCTGACACTTCCTCATCAGCAGTAGGGACTCAGATGTTTAAAGCTAAGTATCAGTAAGACCAAATCTGTTTTATTTTTTTTATTTTTATTATTATTATTTTTTACGCCTACAGCACCTGGTCTTCCTAGGTGGTCTCCCATGCAAGTATTAACCAGGCCCGACCCTGCTTAGCTTCCGAGATCAGACGGGATTGGGCTTGTTCAGGGTAGCATGGCTGAAGACCAAATCCCAGTTTTAGAAAAATAATTCTTTAGGTTATCACAGATAATAGAGTTAATTGGTTTTTAATTTCTTTTAAGTGAGCAAAGACAGAGGAAACTTCAAGCTGAAATCAAAGAGATGGCTAAAGGCAAGGGATTGTGACGGCTTGGCTGAGGCAATAGAGAATGAATTCAGGAAATGATTCAGAGGTGGAATCGGTAGGACTGGTAACTTATTAAATTTGAAGAAAAGGAAAATCAAAGATGGCCAAGTTTCTATCCTGAAGCCTAAGCAGGTGGTGATGCAGAAAGTACGCAGAAAGAATGGAACGTGCGGCATGAAAACATCCCAGCTAAACACCCAACATGGTAGATTTAAAGCAGGAAAACAAAACCTGCCAGAAAGAACTCAGGATATATAACTGAATGTAATCTGTGCGTTTGACAATTTTATACTGTCTACGAATTTTCTTCCCCTTTGTCATTAAGCTAGATATTAACGCTGCTAAGCGCAACTAGACCAGGCTGGGAGAAGGGGAGGGGGGTCTACTGATTCACCACAGAGGGCACAGTAATAAACTGAACTAAGTCCCTGTCCTCATAATGCTCATGTTACAGAGTGGAGAAAGACACAAATGTTAGTTTCAGACAGTGATTAAGAATATGAAGGGAAAAAAAGCAACGAGATCAGCTGGAGTGGATTACAGAAAGCTTCTTTAAGGAGGTGATATTTAAGCTGAGACCTAAAATTATGAAAGACCCTCACATATCTGGATGGAAAGAGTTCCACACAGAGAAGACACCAAGTGCGGCAGGGTGTCCGAAAGGCAGGAAGGAAGGCCTTTGGGGCCGTGAGTCACGGCCAACAAAACAGCCTGCTTTCAGTTTCCACTTCCTACTATGGTCTTTTTCTATTTCAGCCTTCTAGATGCTCCACCATTTCTGTCACAGTGTTATGTACAAAGTCCCTTCTCTGGGGTACCCAGCCACCTACTCTTTTCCAGCTGTATTCCATTAGACTGAAGAAGAATATACAGTCATTGGGACTTGAAATAAAGTTTTATAAAAACCTGAAGTCCCACTCAGCCAGAGCTGCGGTGATGTTTGAGTTCCCCAGCACAAAGATTAGCAAAAACCAACTAGGCAGAGGAAAAAGCACTTGGCTGGAGCTGAGACAGGTACTGCCCTCAGCGAGGTGCATCCATCTGTCTTCGATCAACACTGAATTGATAAACACGTGGAACTAGTCTGGTGAGTACAGAAAAGAGCCAAGGTTTGAATCCCAATACTGCCCCTTGATCTCTGATCCATGAAAGGTTAATCTGGCTCAAGGAAACCTCAAATTTTGCTGCTCTTGTTGGTAAACTGAACTGGGTCAAGCCTCTTGATTTACCCATTACCACTTCCACGCACAGGTTTGATACCCATAGTACTCTCCCATTACACAATGAATTTCACAATAGTCTGAACATTTGTTGGTACTTTATCATCATTCACTAGATTGTGAACCCTGAGGGCAGAATTACCTTGTTTCTTATTATGCCCCAAGAATCTGGCACATAATGGGCATACAAATATTTTAGTCTGTTGAACATAAGATATGCTATGTGTAGCATATACTCTGTGGAGGTACTCTAAATGAGGATGGTGATAAAGGAGGTAACAAACTGGGCCCTGAAGTTTGAAAAGGATCTGGGGTAGTGGAGGGGGAGGTGCAGAAGGGGCAGGTAGAGTTCTGGGCTAACCGAATTGCAAACAGGAACAGCCAGGAGCTAGAAAGAGCTTGAAGCAAAAAGCAGTCAGTGTGGCTAGGGAGCCCTTGTCAGGTGCCAAGTGTTCTCTGGGCTGGCAAACATGCGGGCAGTCCATTTGGGAAGAGTCAGACAATGGTGAGCCTCAGTACTCTCACCTGCAAAATGGCTACCAACCCACTTCCCTGGCAGGCTTGATTTAGAAATAAAGATGCCCATGAGGTCCAGCAGGTGCCTATTGTGCCTACTGATCAGTAAAGGGGTCCTATGGCCAATGCCAAAGTGATGCCCCTGATACGTACTGAGGGAGGCCCTGGAGAAAATGCCAACTCCCAGGGGCAAGAAGCAGGTGGTCACGTTTTCTACAATTCTTTCAACTTACAGGTGTGTCTGTGTGGCTGATAGAGCAAGGCTGAGATTCAAATTCTGCCAACCTCAAAGCACCTACCCCAGCCCAGGACCCGCACTGACACTTTCACACATACCTCCTCAAGTCTTCGCAACGTCTATCAGCAATATGCAGGCCATGGAGGCTTCATTCCAAACAGCATGAAACAAACCTTGTACCCAAGTAAGTAGGAATGCTAACAACCCCTACCTGCCAACTCCCCACCTGTTTCACAGTTAAGGGAAGACTGGGCAGTTCTGTATCAAGACTTCCCTTTTGTTTTTAGCCTCGTTCTGCGTTTCTCCAGCTTCAGTGCACATTAGAATTATTTGGCAGAGCTGGATACGTGACGCCACACGTACTTTGGCATACGGGCGATGTACGCAATACTCGAGGGAAACTGTGGCTCTCGAGGGCGGACTTTAGACCTTAACCCCCAGCAGGGTGCGACTCCACTATTACGCGTTGGAAAGAGTTGACAGGCCGCCTGGAACACAGTAGGTGCTCATTGGAATAGCGGAATACTTGGGAGTGAGCAGGGCAACAGAGAGTGCCAACTTTCACGAGCCTTCAGGAGTCCGAAAGGCCCTGTCGGAGAGACCGCTCTAGGCCGGTCCTCTCGCTCCTGCCCGAGACCCTCCCTGCCGGAGCCTTGCCCCTCGGCTCCACTCCCCTCCCTTCCCAATCGCCCCCCGACCAGGCCCCGGCTCGTCGCTTACACGTGTCCACAGAGCACCCGCACTGGCTTCTCGTACACCTCTAAGCACACGGGACACGTGAAGCGGCTGAGTGGGTCGGGCTCCGCCGCACGGCCCGCCAGCTGCGCACCGCCTTCACGGTCCTGCTGTTGCGCCGCCATCTTGCTGCCGCGAAGCGCAGCGCAACGGCGGCCGAGAAGGAGGAGCCCGCTGGGGCGCGGCCAAGGCGGCGGGCCTGCGCGGAAGGGGCGGGGCGAGGGCGGGGCTCGAGACCGCTAGGGGCGTGGGTTACGGAATGTGCGCCGGGCTAGGGGCGGGACTAGTGCGTGGGGCACGCCTCTTGGCCCTTCTGATGGGCGGGAGGGAAGAAAGGGCCGACGGCAATCTGGAAAATGTGGAAACCAGACGCAGAGACTGGCAGAATTGGAATGGGCTTTGCGCTTCGGCCTGTTTCCTAAATTTAAATCATTACTGTTACTTAGTATTTACTTATACACTATTACTTAACATTTCTCTTCAAACCGAGTTGCTTTCTTTAAACTTAAGCAAACAAATTTTAAAGGGAGTCCTGATATCACTCCTGAACTGCAAATAGAAAAATCAGTATCATTTGTATCTGCAAGGGAATTGTAAAAATACAGTGGAAACAAAACAGTATCAGTTATTCATGCTGGATACTGTTGGCGCTGAAAAGAGAGATTGACCATTATAAGAGAGGTGTTGAAGACAGGCTATCACCACACTGAGACTTGCTAGCTAAAGCAGAAGTAGTGAGAAGCGTCTCCCTCTGTGTCAACATTATTTAATACTGTGTTCACCTGCCTGCTGACGATGGGGTCCAGCTCCTGCTCTGTACGGATAGGGAAGCTGAGGCTTGAAGAGATAGACTAAACCTGATCTCACAAGAAAGAAGGAGGTTTAAGACCCCGGTGTTTTGAATCTCAACTCTCTCCACTTTCTATTGCACCCAAGTGGCTCTTATATGCATCCCATAGATGTATGTCTTTAATAAGATACATCTTTTAAAAAGGCAGGTTGTGCTAACAATTCTACATGGTTTTCTTAATCAGGAAAGTTAATGATCAATTAAACCTCCACCTGAAAGGCCACAAAGGCCTCATAGTAAGGAATCAAGCCAGGACAAATAAATCATACTTGTTAACCAGGTTAATTGAATGCAAATGTGTGCCTTCTTTGTCCCTCCCCTTCCCAATCATCTGGATTGATTTTTCTTGACTTGGTGGCAGCAGGAGGATTATTTTTAGCTATCCACGTGGGTATCTTTTCTTCAACAAATAATTTGGTGGGAAAGCAGCCTCCCAAGAGGCCAATGCTTTCACTTTATGGTCTCCTTTTCCTGTTTCTATGCCAAGCACCCACTCATCTGATCTCTTCCCTCTCTCCCCTCCAGGGCAGAAGTGGAGGCAGAGGTGTGGGTATTTACCAGCCTTTGCATTGCCCTTGTAGCTGCTGCCAGACCCTGGGCAGGAGGAGCAAGGGAGCCCCTGACCTGGACTTCAGATCCACTGAATGCCTCGATTGGGCTCTTGATATGAAATTTCCACGAGGTTATATACTTAGTCACAGAGACAAGAGGACAAGACTGAAATAACATTAACAGTGAACTTTTTGGTGTTTATTATTGTAAGCACTTTACGTGAATAAACCCTCACAGTAATCTATGCCTTAGGTTCTATTGTTATGCCCCATTTCACAGCTATGCAAATTGAAGCACAGAGAGATTACCTTTTAACAGATAGAAAATGAGAGTCAGGATTTGAACACCACAAGCACTCTGGCTTTGGCACCCGTGTCCTTAAGTGACCCTGTGCATCAGAATCAACTGGAAGACTTCCTAAAACAAAACAAAACACAAAATGCTGGAGACTACCCCCGGAGTTCCTGATCCAGCAGGTCAGCAGGTCTAGTGTGTGGCCAGAGGATTTGCAGTTCTAAAGTTTTGCCAGGTGAGGCTGATGCTGCAGGATAAGCTGGAACTAACTACTGGCTACCTCAACCTCCCCTCCCCTCATCAGCCTGAGGCTAGATGAATGTGCTCCATCCCTTCCTGTTTTTCTGAGCACTCCCAGCAACAATGTTCCCACTATCCCTTTCTTAGTTTGCAAATATATTGCCAGTATTCTCTACACACTCATACTTGCTATTTTTCAACAACAACCAACCTAATAATGTGCCTCAAATGAATGAACTGTTCTCTTCCCATTTCCCTTAATGTTCTTCAGGAAAGTATTTCCCACAGTAGTCTCTTTCCTTTAGTTTTTGGCAGCCTCTCCCAGGTGGCCGGTATCATCTTAGATTCTCTTAGAGTGAGCCTGGAGCCTAGAGAAGGTTCTGTTCAAAGCCTTCACAAACTTGATTTTTACTGCCAAGTTAGACTCATTCATTCAAGAGACAAAGAGTCACTATAGGTCTACAGTGTACCAGGCCCTCTGCATGGTGTGGTCCGGGATATAGTGTAGGAGAGTAGTTGAGATGGATTTGGCATGATCCCAGCCCTCAAATAATGTAACCCTCAGAGCCCTATCTCCCGGACTCAGATCACATGTAAAAATTATTACTATACTATTATTACTATCTAAAGTAGGCAGAATTTATAATAATATGTATTACTATATTTATCAATTTATGGGCAGATAATTTCATCTTGATTTCTAGCTGGTGCCAAACTGGTAAGAGCCAGGAGGAATTCCCACCTGCACGACTAGGGGGCAAACGAGTATCTCACAGACTCAAGCGGCCCAACAAGGTGAACACCACATTCCTTGTTCTTTTTAGTTCCTTAGATGTCTACTGCCCCTGCCGGTTACAGCCTCCTGTACTTGGCCTGGAAGTAAAAATCAAAAAGAGCATACATAGTCTTGGATTGTGAAGGAGTTTTAACACGAGTGACACTGTAAATATTCATTCGACCAGTAACTTCTATGTGTCAGGTATTCATTCTAATAGGTGTTGGGGATATGGCAGTGAATGATTTGGACATAAACAGGGAAGACGCAGGAGGATGACCACATAAAAACTCTGCTTCCAGAAAATTTTAGTTCATCAGCATTTTACAGTTTATATTATATCAAGAATCAGCCACATAATGATCTAGTAAGATTTGACAAAAACTAGAAGCAAATGAATATTATCAAGACTGATTGAAATAGGGATTTAAATCCATCAGCATCAGTGACAAAACTCCACTGCGTGCGTATTTGTGACTTGAGACATTGGCTAATGATAGAATGAAGTTATTGCCATTAGGAAGACATTGAAAAACTAAGCATCCACATAGAAGTGGAATTGCCATGTCGTTTGGCAAGTGCATACTTAAATTTATTAGAAACTGCCAAACCATTTTCCAAATATTTTCCACTGCTCCTAGCGATGTATGAGTTGCTCCACAATCTCACGATTTGCTTGTCAGCCATTTTGATTTTGGGCATTCTATCGGGTGTGTTGTTGATCCTGTGGTTTTAATTTTCATAATGATGAATAATGTTGAGTACTCGTTTATTTGCTTATTGGCTATTTGTATGTCTTCCTTTGGAAAGTATCTGTTCAAGTCTTTTGTTCATTTTTTGTGGGGATTATCTTTTTTATTCTTTAGTTGTTGGAGATAAAATATTATTTTATATTTAGGCCATTCTTTTTGTGTTTATTTTGAAATAATTTTAGACTTACAGAAAAGTTGTAAAAATAGTTTAAAAACTCCTAGAGACCCTTTCAACTGGATTCTCCAATTTATCACATTTACTTTAGTTCCTTCTCTCTTCATATATATACACACGCACATACACACATATGGCAGCCATATATATATATATACACATAAATACATGTGTTTATGTATATTTATGTATAAATAAGCATGCATTTATGTATATATATGCTATTTTTCCTGAAATGTTTGAGAGTAAGTTGTAGACATGATGCCTCTTCTACATAGTGCAGTATTTCCTAAGAATAAAAACATTCTCTAAAAAACTGTAATACAATTACCAAAAAGAAGTTAACATGAATACAACAGTATTATCTAATCTGTAGACCTTATTCATATTTTACCAATTGTGTCTATAATCTTTATTTAAATAAAAATAAATGTCTTTATTTTTTATTATTGTTTGTTTTTTCTAGTTTGATTGTATTTGGTTGTCAAGTCTCTTTAAACTCTGTTAGTTTGGAACAGTTCATCAATTTTCCTTTATCTTTCAAGACTTTAATGTTTTTGAAAGGTATATTAGGCCATAATTTTTATCTTTGTATGTGTGCGTATATATTTTTAAGGTCCATAAAAATATCAGTATCGTGATTATTTATTATGTACGTTGTGGGTGTATACTCTGATTTTGTGCTAATGGAATATAGGAGTGAAAAAGTTTGAAGACCACTGTTTTATAATATGCTTGTGTGTACATTTTCCTATTTGGAAAACTATAACTGATTTGATGTGTAACTATAACTTATTTGTTGACAAAACACGAGTTATTCTAATTGTCTATAGCAGTAATCTTTGTTTCTAGCAGCATAGTTTGGTTGCAGGCAACAGAAACTGACCCCAGTAAACTTTATCAAAATGGAAAGAAAGTTAAAATTCTAGACTGGAGGAATTAGCTTTAACTTTTTTCAGTCTCTTTATAATCTGTACTGTATTCAGACTCCCACAGAAGAGTCAGGTTGGCTCAGCTTGAGCCATATGCCCATTCCTGAGGGTAAGGGGCCTTGATTGACAGAAACTACAAGGCTGTAACCAATGTAGTTATGGCCAGTGGTGGCTTCCCAAAGCAAAATTGAAATGCTATTATTGGAATAAGGTGGCGGGGTGGGGGAGGGGTGGAGACTGGGTGTCTATGAATGATCTACATTCACTGCTGGTGGATTTGTGCGCAGGAAGCTCTGTTAAGGCTTCCATGTCTACAGCTCTTTCTGAGGAAAAGTGGCGCCCCAGGCTCATGCCATGTGGTTCCAGTGCCCAGGCCACAGCTGACTGATGAAGGCCCAGGGTCTAATCTTAGCCACCATCATGGTCCACCTGGATTGTTGTAGCAGCCTCCTCACTGACCTCCCTACTTCTATCCTCATCCTACAACAGGCCCTCCTTGACACGGTGTCTGCTTCCCTCTGATGCGACTCTCCTGACACACTGGCCACACTAACCTTCTTTCTTTTTCCCAAGCACACCAAGTTCCTTCCTGCCTCG